GTTGTTGTCTTGGCTAAATTGAACTTAGCTTGAGGTATGACAGAATAGTTTAACAAAGTTAATACCTCGCTTCAGTTGTGGAAGTGAGCATGATACTGATTTAGATATTAAGCAGAAATTAAATACGTCCAATAATATATTTATAAACTATGTATTTTATAGAATTTGATATAATTTTACACTATTTTTGAGAACTTTAAAGCTAGAAAAATTAAAATGGATTTATTAAAAATATATTAATAAAACTTATTGGGTTTAGCCATTGAAAAGGAGAAAATTTATGTGACAATGTGTGTGAACTGAAGAAGGCGTGGCAGATGACAAATAGACTGAGGCGTGACAGTTCACCATAAAGTATATGTATATACTCTTAATCGTCTGTCTTTCCGTCTGTCCGTTCGTAGGAACGAAGCGATCATGAAACATACAGTCCAAATTTGAATTATGAAAAATAAAATCGTATATCAAATATTAGAGACTTGTGCTTTGGCATATACCCACATTTAAATTTGATTATCACGAGCAGTTCGAGTAGAGTACTTTAACTTGTTTTTAATTAGCTTCAGCTTATTGCATTGGTTGTAGTTGTAGTTAAATAAAATACTACAAGCATATGTTTTAAGTGAGCTTCATCTTATTAGACTGGGAGTAGCGTAGCAAGGGCAGTTAAATAAAATTGTATAAGCATAATACATATAAGCTAAAGATTTGTAACTTTATATGTATATTTGTGTGTGGCATATTACGTCGGTAACTCATCTTATTTCTTTATTATCGATAAGAATCGGTAATTTTACTTCACTAGCCGAGCCGTGTTGACTCATACATGCTTTATTTAACGTATATTATGCATATATAGGGTATATAACATTCCATACATTTCAATTTTATAAAACATTCAATTGAAATTCATGAATAGCAAAAGTTATACAACTAAAATGTATGTAAATTATTTGTAAACAAATAGGTAAACTATGTGAAAGAAATAATAAAAAAAGTAAATAAAAAACGCCCAAATAAAATTTCAAAATTCTTCTGCTTTCAAATTGTTTTTGACCAAACACAAATTTAGTGTATATAGAGCGATTAATTAGGCATGCAAAGCGCGTGCATAAAATAAATATAAATTGGCATAACAATCAAGCCCACTTGATTTTGTTTTCATTCGTAAAACTTGTCTCGCTTGTATTTTTAAAGGTTCTACTTGCATTTTGTGTGTTTTTATTCACATATTATTTTTAAGTAAATTAAATTTTTTTTAACTTGCTTGCGCTTATAATTAACGGAAGTAGTTGTCTCATGACAAAGGTGTTAATTGATTCGGTTATTATTTTTTGTATTATTAATATGAATTGCTTTAATATAGTCGTTATGAACGACACAAATTGAGACTATTTCTATAGAGCTTAACTAGCTTTGATTTATAATTTAAGTAAACACGAATACCAATTTCGAGCTGGTTATTAAAAGGAATTGATATAGTGCTAAAAGCTTTTCAGTTTATATATACTTTTTTCTTTCTTTTTTTCAAACATAAAATACAAAATTATTTGTATAAATAAATAATTCTGCAAAATTTGGAATTTTTCCTTTAAGTTTTTGTATCAGTATATTTAAATATGTATATGTATATATTTTCTTATATTTTTGTGTTGATTTTACATATATATATATGCATTTTCTTTTTATATATCAATTCGGAATTCATATTTCTTTACGATTTTATTTTTTTCAGAATTTAAGAGCTATAAGTTGGTAATATAACAATGCATAGTTGGGCTCTAAAAGAACAGGTCTTTTTTTATTAAAACTCTTTAACGTTCTAACGTTTTTACGTCTTGACAACGACTTGACGAGAATGTAAATAAAATGGGTTGAGTTTGTTTAACAAAGTCTACCAATTTAGGAAATTCTCATAGTTGGAACACTTGAACAAAGTTCGAAAACTTGTCAACTTGCCGAACCGGTTTGAACCGGGTACAAATATTGTAAACTGAATCAAAATTGAGGCTTCTGAGTAGTTAGAAATTTTGATTAATTAGCAATTATTTTGAGGAATTGAGGAATTTTTGATTATCTAAAAAATATTTATTCAAATTTATAGCGTCTAGTCAAGCTATTGTTTGATACAAATATTATTCAGTGGCGGCTTTGGTTCACCTGTTTATTCTCCAACATAGTTTGATTGGATAGATAAACTAAGCTGGAAGAACAGGTGCGAGCTGTCTCAAATATATTTGCAGAATCAAAATTCTCTTAAGTAGCTGTCATTCTTATCTTAGCTGAGACAACACTCTGATTTGAGCCGCAAACACCTATTTATGGTAGTCTAAGGAACTTAAATAAAAATTATTGCAGGAAAAAACAATATTTACTAAAGCAAATTTTGTTTCATTCTCATTGTTTGCTTTATGTGCTAGCAGATCAACTAAAAAGCTGGCCCAGTTTTCCAGCTAAATGACGATGAGCGTAATAATGATGTTGATGATGATGATGATTTGATATGCAAATGCGTCAACACTTAAGCAGAGGAGTTGTCAGTCGCTTTGTGCTCCCCGCTTTGGGCTTAACTGTCCGTCGCACATGGCAGACGCCACAAACACACACACACACACCCACACATACACACAGAAGCAGCCCACTGTACATATAGAAATACATATTAATGGCTTCGCTTGTCTGATGTTTGCTTTACTTTTTTTTTTTTTATTTATTTATTTTATGTACTCGCATTTTGTATTTGTCTTTTATCAGCCTGCTTCCATATGGCGCACGGGTCGAGGCGGCGGGGGCAAATACATCTTTGAGTAATTGAAAGCCGCACTCATCCAAATGAGCTACTAATACGTCCATCAATATTGAATGCATTTGAATACACTCACACTTGGCATGTCTTAAGAGAATCGAAACATTGTTATCGCAGTGTATTCAATATTCGCAATCATTTTTTGTTTTTATTTTATTTATTTCTATCTAATTCTCTGCACATTTTTGCTGTTGTTTTGTTCTCTTCTGTTTGTGTCTAGCATTTGGGTCTCTGTTTGCATAAAACTGACGGCTCTATGGCCCATTACTTTTCATCCAGCTGGACAATACACAGATCCGGTACCTGGACATGCATAGTGGCTTCTATGCCTCGATGCTTGCAACGACTCTATTGTCTTGTGTTGAGCATATGGCACAGCAGTTAGTCTTATTATATAAAAAATGAAAAAAATATGGAGCTCTAACAATTTATTTATTTTTTTTCTCTTTTTTTTTTTTTGGCTTGATAGTTATATAAATTGATTTTTATTGAGTTTACTGCACACATTTTCAATAAAAAAGTAATACAAGAGAAGGCACTGTTTCATTTGATCTATTTAGCCGTTAATTGCCATTCATTGAATTGCCTTCCAAAATTGTATTTATTTCACTTGCTTTTCGTTGACAACGAAACTTGAAAATTAAGCTATAGATAAATTTAATTGTTGATTGGATGGGCTACGTTCGTAGGGAATATAAAAAAAAGATATATAATTTTATCTATTTATTTTTTGATATATTTCATATTTTTGGTGTATTTTGTTCCTTTTTTTTTTTTTTTATTATATACATTTTCAAAAGTATATATACAGAATACTTACGTTATACTATACTATATATATTTAAAAAATGATTGATTGCAAGACACATAACTATTTGAAAAATTCTAAGACATAACATCTTTATGCTTGGAAGGGATTTCCGAAGTCCAGGGTATATCGCACCCATATACCACTTCGTTCTCCACTTCGTTGACAACAGCAGTCGGCTGAGCGCTAACAAAAATGGTTTTGTATTGTGATTGTAAACATTGGTGTGCTGCGCCATTTGTGACGTCATTGATACACACAACTACATATTTGCATGTGAAACAGCCCTTCGTCAATATCAATGAATGGTCGAGAGTTTAGCGTGTGGCGCCACTAAATTGCTGTAATGTCTCTCACACATTTCAATAATTGAATATCTATTGAATGAAATAGTTTAAAAAATAAATAAATAAACATAAAAATGAACTTAAATTAACCGAAAATCTGTACAAGTAAATGTCGTTGCCAATGCGCTAGCAAATCAATCACACTTACCCTGATAAGCTTTATTAATAGACTTCTTCTGTGTAAAGTCCAGCTGCATGAATAATAAATAAGCAGAGTATGGCCAAGCAGCTGATAAAGAGTTCACATAGTATATGATATGGTTAAGTTTGTTAATTCGCTTAGCTAACAGCTAAATGTTAATGCTACAGCAACCACACAACAGCGCCCTGTTAACACAGGCGTTAAGAGTCTGCTAATGCACATCCTATTTTATTTTGTTAATTGGATTGATAAAGGCATTTGCGTTTGAGGTTTTCCAAACCAAAAAAGATATATTTTTATTTATTTCGAAAATTAATCATAAATCAGTTTCATATTTAAAACCAATAAAAATGAAGCTCGCATAATACCATAACATAAATATAATAGCCATAATATTTGATGAGCCAATAAAAAAAATACATATTTTAAAATGTTATATGTAGTTGACTTTTTTGAGTGTGTGTTTAATATATATATAAGTATATATATTTATAGTATGTCGGACACATAACACACATATTTGTAGCTATTTATAATTTTTAATAAATGTTTTAAATAAATTTTGTATATAAGTATGTATAAGTATGCATGTATATCGTAGTATGTATATATATATATATTTTTTTTTAAATGTTTTTTTTTCTCCCAATTTGTATTCTTTCAATGTTTTCAATAAAACAGTCAGACAATTTTTTATTAAACTAAATTAACACGCCGCCTTCTGAAATCGGCATAGAATATTTTTAATATTTTATGCGCTGAGCCACTTAAAATGTTTTGACAAATAGTTTTCATAGTTGTATACATATATTTCGATTATAATATATATATGTATATATATATTTTTATTTATTTATTTATTTTTTTGGTAATATAATTGTTAGTAGATATTTCAAATACTTTGTTTGTTTTGTTGCATAAAAGTGTGTTACTTTTCGCTCAGTGTAAATAGTTTTGAGTGTAGTACAGTGAAATGGCGCCTCCTTGTATAAAACATTAAAAGCAAATTGACAGACAATCTGTTGTTGCTGAGCTCATTTAAAGTAATTACCGTTAAGTATCTATAGATTGTATTCTTCATAAATTTTTTTCATTTTTGTCTTGTTTGTTTTTTTTTTTTTTTTTTTTGTACTACTTGGGAAGCCTCTAGTTTTGATATTACACAATTAGATACTGATAGTATTGGCGGTTCTTTGGTTTTTGTTTTGTTAGACATAGACATTGATTAAGTGTGGTTAGGTTTAGTTTAGTTTAGGTTAAGTTCGATTGGGCTTTGGTAAGTTCGCAGTTGTCAACCCTGTCGGTGTCAGTGTTTTAAAAACATTGATTTTGATTATGTTGATGTTCTTCGACATACAATATTCATATATTTATATGCATAGATATAATAATATTATATATATATATATATTTTAGTTTGTGTTTCAAAATTCGAATTCTACACAGAAATTGCACGTTGACTCATTTTTAATTTAAGGTATCTTTTGGTTTAAAATATTATGTATTTTATGTTCTTTCATTTTGCAAACTAGGGTAAAGGTCAAATAATTTGGGTTTCTTCTATTTTTGTTCAGATTTTCTGTAAATTTGGTAAATGGTAAATGTGAAAAGCTCAGCTTAAAAGCTTTTCTTTTCTCTCTCATAATCTGCTCTAACTATCTTTCTCTACCATGCTCTATTATTTTAGTAGAACTTCTCGCCATAGTAGCTGGGTCCACGCTCACCTACCGGTTCGTTCAAGAACTGGTTCTGGTTAATGGATCGCTTCTTCTTGGACACCATGAAACGCTTTGCGGATCCCAGACCTGTAATTATTGTTTTAGCCATGTAGCAATTAGTTTGAATTAAGTTGCAGTATTGCTTTCACTTACGACTGTTGCTGCCCAGGTATTTCTGTGGGCGTGGCATATATTCATATTTTGGCACCACCTGTGCCTCCACGGGCATGCCATAGTAGTCGACAAGAGCTGGTGCCTGCTGCTGCTGTTGCTGCTGCATGGGCGCATCCAACCAGCTGCCAGCTGCCGGCACATAGTCCAGTTCCTCAGCATCCACCAATGGTACCGAGATGCCGCTCTCCATGTCGCTCTCCTTGCGTGCCCGCTCACCGGCTTCGACGAGCGCAACCAGAGCCAACATATCAGCAGGTGTCAGCTTGGTGGTGTCACGTTTTAGGCTGAGGAGGAGATAGTATACATATATATTCTTTTTTTCCTAAAGTTTTAATTTATTTTTATAAGGATTTAGCATTTAAGCCCTATTGAAAATATTATTTAAATGCAGCAGTCATATTGGTTTCAATAGCAAGCTATTTAAAGCCATTTTCATATAAGAAAGTTGGATAACAGTGCTCATGCCTGCAAGCCCCCTTAGAGTAACTGTCATTAACATATTCTCAAGCTGTTAACTCGTATAAGAATGTTTGCTTACTTTTCTCTGTGTATGTTTAAGCTAGGCTCAATGGCGATCTCTAAATGGTAACAGCAGGCTTGTTGGTCAATGTTATGTTAAGTTATGATTTTAAAATATATTGGCCTGTTAACCATAGAAAAGTACCAGAAATGAAAACTAGTTCACTTTTGGAATTATTATTCTTATCTGCTAACAGTATGTTAGATATTGACTTATTGGACAACTATAGCTCATATTGGAAAATGTATAAAGAGTATCAATGTAATGCATTGTATGTGCATGTATATGTCAATGTTATGTTCTGCTATTAACATGATTGACTTTCAGTATAAGTCTTTCCATGCTATTAGTATCTTGTAGATGTTTGACTTACCGCATATCACCATAGCGACGATACTTGTTCAGATTGATATTCTCGCTGGGGGCATTAGCTGAAGCCAAGTTGTAGTAGAGGCCACGCTTGTTGCGCTCATCCAAATTGTAATTGCGATTGGCATAGGTTAATGGCACTGACAGAGGAATGCTCTCCAGGTAGGCTTCGGCATTGAGCAGATTCTGCAGATTATCATAAGCCTTGCTGCGGCCAGTGGGCGTGTTAGCTAGTAGTCAGTGGAAATAAAAGAAGAGGGAAAGCTACTAAAGTGGCTCAGGAATTATGTTAAATGGCTGCTTACCATGTCGGTCCGGCGTATAGTCCTCCAGTTCCTGCAGCTCTCGCTCATTGTTGTAGCTGTTGTAGCCGTTGTAGTTGACGGGCGCACTGGGCTCATAGTCGTCGGCCCAGACACCGGCGGGCACATCGCTGCCATAGTCGTTGCTGCTCACACTCATATACGGATTGTATTCGTAGTTGATGCCACGCTTGCGCATTGTGGAGCTGGCCACGGCCTCCTCTAAGGCGGTTGGCTCACTCTGCTGCTGCTGTTGGCTGTTTTGGGCGGCAGCTGCCACCGCGGCCAAGATCTCATCGTTGCTGGGCAGCGAGTAGAGGCCAGCCTGTGGCTGCTGTTGTTGCTGTTGCTGTTGTTGCTGCTCGTTGGGGCCAGTACGGGCGGGCGAGTTGCTGAAGGTGGCTGGCACAATTTCCGGACTTGACTTCTTATCGGCCGGTGGCACCGTGGCACTATTTGCCCCATCCTCAGCGCGCTTTACTGCTAAAATTGAATTCGAAAACGAAAATGTAATGTAATTTGCCATTGCGTGCTTTTAGGGGTCGCAGCGTATTTCAATTTGCGCTCCTTGATTCAATAAACGTCCAAAAGCAATTAGCCAAGCTGTCTACCATAATTTCTTTCGTAGTTTTTTCTTTTTCTTTTTGCATTATTGCTCGCACCACTAATTGCTATTAGCCATGCTTATGCTCGAAAGCAGCTGGCAGTCGCAGCATTTAGCTAGTTGGCTTATTCCCATAACAACAGCTACCCATTGACATTATTATCCCTAATCATATTTACTGTCGACCCTTGCGCAATGCTAATTGGATCGACTCAGCTCGACCTCAGCCTGATAATCTAACGTCTCGTGGCTGGCAATTAAATGCGAATTAACACCAGCCGCAATCAACTACGGTGTTAACTGAGTTAAAAGAGCATCTATGCTAATAGTTTCCTACATATGTTAAACGAGCTGTTTTTGCTAGGGAAAAGTGTTAAGCAAATAACAGAAAACATTTTTCAGATAATTGGTTGCTAATATGTTTGTTTGTTTGATTTGTTAAAGATTTTAAATTTCAATTTAGAATATATTTAGAATATTTTTATTATTTACATTGAATTTTATTTACATTTATTTTCATTCTGAAAATTATCATGATATTGTATATATTTAATGTTATTTTATATATTTAATTTAATTAAATTTTTTCATAATTTTTTTTCCTGGAGTTTTGCATTTAAGACTTTTGGTGTTTTTAATTTTTTCTAAAAAATTAACAGCGACTTTTCTTAGAAGCTTGTAAGCTAATATAGGATATTTTTTTAGATTTAGTTCTCAGCAAGTTTATCCTAGTTTCATTTTATCAATCATAGTTGTCATAAATCAGACACATTTCCGCCGATTTTCAAAATCATTAGCTATCAGCTTTATCAAATTTTGTTTATTTAACTCAATTCGAATTAGTTCTAAGCACACGCATCACTCATAAATCCTTGCGTTACACGCTACACGTACTTCGGAGGGTTTTTCCTGTACTTTATCTACTTAGCACTCCATTTATATATATGCATATTCAATCGACATTTGAAATGGTTTTTATACATTTATCATGGCAATATTTTGCGATAAGAAAAACCAGCGCGTAAATAAATGATCAACAATGATTTATATGTAGTACATATGCCCCAATTGCAATAATTAAACAGAGTAGACCCACTATAGAGGCTATAACTTTATCTGACCAAAATATCCGACGCCCACATTTCTGATGTAACTGAACTGATTTAGCTAAGCAGAAAGTGTTTTTTTTGTTTGTTGGTCATGATTTGCAGTTTTTTGGGTGAAAATGATATATGTATGTATGTGGTATGAATATATTGATATATTGTTGTTGATATATTGTTGTTTATGTGGATCAAGGTAACAAATATGTATATTCTTTGAACTTACAATTAAAATTATGAAATATATCTCAGGTATTTAGTTGATATGATTTTTTCTTACTGATAAACAAGATAAATTGAAAGGAGAGTAAAAATATTTTTTGAAGGCCGACTACATTTCAGGCACAGCTTGCATAGAGCTGATATGCATCCAGAATTATAATATATTGAACTTGTAAACCGATCGTACTGCCTTTCACTTTTCTCTTTGTTTTATACACATTGATAAGCATACTTCGAATGTCTATATATAGTCTGAAATCCCTTGCTCTCTCTGTGGTTGATTGAGTTTATTTTGTAAGAAGCTTACATGCCCTTCGTTGTCTGTAAAGTAACCCAGTTTCTAGCTGCTGTTCGTTATAGCAAGCAGCTTGACCATATGTTTGTTTTGTCATGAGCCAAGAGCTTCGTCATATGCCTGAAACCTTGGCTAGGTACAGGAAAAACAAGCTGGCGCTGGGGCGGCAGCAAGTGGGACAGTTGGGTTGAATGAAAAGTATTCCCCGTGCTGTTGCTCTGCGCATTTGTCCTGCGGGCACAAGGAATTGCTGGAACTGTGCAAGCAGTGCAGGGGCATAAATAAATATAAAAAACAGGCAGCCAAATTATATGCGCTGACGTTTGCTGACGTCGCGCTACGCGTTGTCATTGTCCACCATTTTGTTATTGTTGTTGTTGTTGCTGCTGCTGCTGCTAACATGAAAATATTCAGTGAACTGTAAAAATATCAACAAGTTGTTTGCTCTTCAATTTTTGCCACACACAAAACACACACGCACACGCACACACACACACACACACAGGCTCAAATTGTGAGTGTGTTGGGCGGTTTTGTGGGTGCGCCCCTTGGCTATGCCTGTTGTTGCTTTTCATCGTGTTGTTGCTCGGCCTGGGCCAGCAGCTGCTGAATAACAAGCAGCAAAGAACGTTGGCAACAGCACAATTAATGTATCCGCAGGCAGTGCGGCCTGCAAAATAACTTAGTAATAACGGCATATGGAAAATTTGTGACATGAAAATGGAAATGTGAGCGCCACTCAGTCTCACTCTCACACTCTCTCTCTCTCTTTCTGCGGACCTCAGTTTATAGTATATATATTTAGAAGTTTGCGGTTAACCAGAGCCTTGACTTTGCAATTGACAGCCACAATGAATATTTGATGAATGCCCACAATGGCATATGCTCGCTAAAGCGCTAGCTAAATGCTAGAGCCAACGACTTATATAAATATTTATTATGTGCACAAGGAGGTCCTGGGATGGGATCTCGGAGTTATGCTTAATGAAAAGTGTGGCAGCGGCATCTGAGCGAAGCGCGTCAAGGCTGGGCTACAGAAAGTGTTGCCTACTTTTAAGCGCGCACGAAAAAGCAAACCAATACAAACGCAAATGGCGTCAGGCAGCAAAAACTGCTGCTCCAACGGGATGTCTAAAAATAGAAATGAAATCGCGCGCACGTACACACACATACACACACACACATAGCCAGACACACATAAGCAAACATTCGCACATACTCGCTAGCTTGCATACCAAAAGAGTCTGGCCGCCATTTTGTGCAGCAGCCGCCCACGCTTTGCGTAGGTGTAGCTGCGCGCTTGTGTATGTGTGTGTGTGTTTGGGTGTGCTTGTGTATTTTAGTGTATTATGAGTCGCAATGATTGTAATGTTACACTAAGCCAGCGCTCTGAAGTGCACAACAACAACTACAACAATGACAGAACCAAATTTATTTTCGTTTATTTTTCTTGCTCTCCTTTTTGTTTGGCAAAATCGGCTGAGCTTCAAGCTGCTTGCCAGCTGTGTAGCAGAAAACACCTACGCAATTTCCTGCAAGCCCAACAGCGGAGAATGGAAAGCACCGCTGCCGCTGCTGCTTCTGTCGCTGCCGCTGCTGTTAAGCGAAATGGCGAATTGCTGGGCGTTAACAAAGGGCGAGGCGCTCGCTTGCCGATCAAACGGAGATGAAAAACACTGACAGGATGCTAGGTGGTGCCGTTGTTGCCTTCTGCTTTTAAAGCGCGCGTAGGTGTTTTGCTTAATGTGCTCAACTTACAAGTTATTCACACACACGCATACACATACACATACACATATACATTTACTCTAAAATACAAATACATGTACAGTGCTGCATAGCTAAGCTGCACATTAGTTGTTTGTCGTTGAATTATACTTAATATGAATATATTTATATATACTTAATATTAATATAAGTTTATGCATTTTATGGAAAATTTTATGAAAAGCCTTTAATTTTAGTATTTTATTTTAAAATATTAGTCTGAATAAATTTGTTGTCCTAAACTCGAGCCGAAAGTCTATGACAAGTTACTGAGAACTATGTATTTATTTATACTTATGTTAATATATATGTACACATATGTATGTATATGCAATTCTTTAATTTCATATGTATAAAATGGACATACTTAACGATTTTCCTAAATTTAGTTTGTACATATGTTTATTCTAATATTAAAATAATTCTTTGAACTGTGAAACGTATAGTCCAAAAATATATATTCAATATATTCAAATTTTTATTCAAGTAAGTAAAACTTGCTTAATTATTTGGCATAGTATAGTTTTATAAAATTTTATGGTTTCGTTTACTATTACTTCTATTATTTATCTTTAATATGTTAATTATGTAATGTTTTTATGTTTTACTTTTGTATATATTTGTTATATATTTTTTTGTATTATATAAATTTTTACTTCTAGCTTAGTTTTTTAATTTGTTTTTTTAGTTTTTGGAAAAATGGTCTCGAAATTACTATATGTATGTACATATTTTTATTTTTATATATTTTTTTACCTATTTCTAAACAGTAATTTTGAGGCAATTTTTCTACGATAAAAAACAAAAGCCAAAGATATTATACAGTCGACTCTCGTTATTTCGAAATTCAAGGGACTCTTAAAATATTTCGAATTGTCGAGTGTTTAACCATATGAGTACGAATTACCGCGTCTTAGCAATGATTTTTAGTTCGAATTACTGAGTGATAACTTTGAATTAATGAGAGGTTCGAAATAACGCAGGTTTGAAATAACAAGAGTCGACTGTACTACCTTCAATTTATTTTATCGCACATTTGTTTGTCATCTTACATTTAAACTTGATCCAACCAAATCAACAATATCTAAAACTGTGATAGCTATACTTCTGCACACTTTAGCTAGGCTCTACTGTGTACAGTGAATGATAATGCGGCACTCACTTCAACGGCGGGTCCTGTGGAACGTGCATGTCCATTTTTCTTATTTTGACTTCAAATGTGAATTTTCAAATGACCTTTAACATTAACTACACGTTGCCTGACGTATGGAGGCAGAGCGTGCCGACCCACGCACTTTCCAGGCAGGTAAAATTGTTGAACTTTTGGCACTTACCTGCCGGTAATTCCCGCAGCTGCTGTTGCTGTAGCTGTTGCTGCTGCTGTTGCTGCTGTTGTTGTTGCTGTTGAAGCTTGTTGTTCGCATTGGTGGATAGCTCCGTGTTCTGGGCTAGCACAGATGCTGGCACCGCTGCCGCCAATCCGACGAACAACAAAAACAGCGCCCACATCAGGCATCGACCATTAGCGGTTGCTCCCACAGACAATTGCATTTTGTGGCACAAACAAAACGAAAACACACACGCGCACACAACACACTCAGGAAACTTGGTAAACAAGCGAAATACTTTTGTTCGGTGTCCCAATTAGATGGGCCTACCCTGGTTGACCCTCTGTGGCTGTAGTAGATGCCTCACTGCCTGACTGCTGAGTGGCTCTTCAAGTGCTGCTTGGGTATTTGGCGTTCGAGCTGAGAGTTCAGTGTTGGTTGCTTGTCCGCGTGCTATGACTGTTCTGAATGAACTGTCTGCCTGCTGCTGTGGTGCAACAGTTTTTAATGTTCAATCGCCCCAAATTCGCTTTGCAGCCCAAAGGCAGCGGCTCAATGTGCTCTGCACGCCATCTACGTCATTGTCATTGATAAGAATTGCGGCCCTCTGCACAGTTAAACTCTGCTTACGTACTTTAGCCTGGCCAACTGGCACTAGTGCGCCTGCTCCATGTCTGCACACGATTCGCAGTTGCCCCTCAAATAACTGAATTGAATTTTTTAGGCATGTAACGTAAACTGTAATTGTTGCCCACTTTGGTGTTGGCTGCTCCAGTTCTAGTTCTAGATCTAGTTCCAGTTGAAAATCTAACTGTTAACTAGTAACTTCTGTATTAATCCTACATAGGTAATTATTATAATTATTTTTTGATCTCTTCAACTTTGAATTTTTTAGGAAATACATTTTTATACTCATTCACGAAAGTGAATCAGTATATTGGTTTTGTGCAATGTCCGTCTTGCTGTCCGTCCGTCTGTCCGTCTGTCCGTCCGTCCGTCTGTCCGTCTGTCCGTATGAACGCAATCTATTTCGGCGCTATTGAAGCTAGAGACTTGAAATTTGGAACATATACTCGTGTATATCTCCGATTTATAAAGTGTTAAAATTTTCCCGATCCGCCCACTAGGGGCGTGGCAAATCGGAAAATGCATTTTCCGATATGCCAGAAAGGATATTAATTGAAAAGCTAGAAAGCTGAAATTTGGAATATAGATCCGCATCAACCGCCCAAGATCACGAGCTATGGCGGATATATCTCCGCCCATTGGGGGCGTGGCAAATCGGATAAAACTGTATCTCCAAGAGTTTTACAGCTAGAGCGCTGGAATTTTGCACGGCAGCTAATGTTATGATTCTATATAGTCAAAGTACAAACTATAAATCTACGCCTATTAGGGGCGTGGCAAATCGGACTTGAAGATATAGTGATTTTTTAAATTCTGCTATATTTTGGACACTATTGATGCCAGAGACCTCAAATTTTATACATATACTCGGCTGATCACACAAGACCAAAAACCTGTGTCGGATATATGTCCGCCCGCAGGGGGCGTGGCAAACCGTAAAAGTTTATATCTCCGAAAGTATAATAGCTAGAAGCTTCAAATTTAGATAGTTGAGTTACTAGTAAGCTTCTCTATCGATGACCTGAAAATAATTTTTACGCCTTTTTAGGGGCGTGGCATATCGAAAAATACCCTGTAATTTTCACATTTTTTGAGGGTAAGCATTCAAAATTTGCAGTTAAGGTACCGTTATCTCGTTCTAAGAACTGACAAAAAATGGGGTGTCTACGCCCAATAGAGCAAATCGGGAAAAACCGCACTTTCTACAGTATTAGAGCGAAACTTAGCAACTAAACTGCTAATGGGGTGTGAATGAGTATTCCGCAGTCGGTTACGCTCGACTGCAACGTTCTTACTTGTTTAATCATAATCAAGTATAAAAAAAGAAACAATAACATTTTTTCAGTACTTCCCATGAAAAAAAAAACAAGTTAGAAGACTCTAGTAGAGACTGCTCGACTGGGAGATACCCTGAACCCTCCAATCTGGTATTCTAATCACTCTGCACTTCTTTTAGGCACACATACATACAAGCAAACGTAGTAGAATGCGATCTGCTAACTACGCAGTAAGCAGCGACTGCGCTTGGACTGCGCTGCAGTGTGGGCAACATTATAAGAATTTATTTGTTGAATTAGTTAATTTCTAGACGTACAATCTTAATAAAACTTCCAGTCTAAGTCTCTAGTGCTTATATCTTCTGAGTTCGACGCATTCATACATACGGTCGGACGGACGGATGGACAGACAGACGGACAGCACTTCTCCTAGAATTCAGTTTAAATTATTTTTAAATGAAATTATATTATTTTCTTGTTGTTTTTGAATATATATAATACATGTTTATTTATACCTCGTTTAATTGCAATAAATATTTTTTATAATCTTTACATATATTGTAAGTCTCAAGGCGTCCAAGTTAAGTTTTCTCGGGATTTCTTTGTTTCTAATATAGTTTTTGTTTCTTATTCTTTTTTGTTGCACTTAGAATTTTAGAATCGCACTGAAAGGTCATAGGTGAACGATCTTGCGTATTTGAACGTGTCGTATGTTACATTTGCTTTATGAATTAACAATGAAAAGGGTAGAAGAAATTATATAACAGAGTCCGATTCATTCGAATAGAAAAGCTAGGGCTACAACTTGTCGGTTAATCCAAGGAAACAATTGCCAATAAATAGATAACTAGAAAAGGTCTAAACGAATTGTATTTTTGTCTGTGTGTGTGTGTGTGTGTATAGGGGTTACAGGGAAAACATATGCGGGTGTCTGTGTGTGTGAGGCCTGACTAATGCTTTTGGCCTGATCTATTGATTTATCTAATTTGCATTGTCAAGCACATGAACAATTTGTTTGGAGACAAGCGCCGTGGCCTCAGCGGCATTTGGTATCAGAAACCGATCCATATCGGTAATGAGCAATCCATCGCCATCGGGAAAGCCGTATTTGAATGTGATCAAATCGCGATGCCGCTTCTTGGCGGTGATCTTCACAATGCTGGCGAGTGGACGACGCACCATAATCTGTGCCTGCCCACGTCCCAGTTCGCGCAGCACCACCAAATGTGTGGGCGTTATGATCAGATGGCTATCGTACATATAGCCATTGATGTGCACATCTTGGCATTTGAACGCATTTATAATGTCCGCCGTCTTGAAATATTGATTGAGATTGACAATCTCCTTGTTAACGCCTGCAGGTTGTGGCGCATCCTTCTCAGCTGGGTCGTACGCATCCTCGTTCTCATCATCGATGCTGAAGACGGGCGCCACATTGCGATAGCGTTTGCCATTGCGCTCTTTGGCGCTAACATGACGCTCCTGCACGGTCTGAGCTTGGCCAGCACCATTGTTGGAGGCTCCACTTGCGCCCGCACCGGAGCCATTCGAACTGGGATTAACAATGATGTCCAGCAGACGGCCTTTAACCTCGGCTGATTTCGATTTCATGGCTGCGGAGAATTTACTAAATAGGTCTGTTGATGAGGGCGTCGATGCCTTGAGCGCCGTTGGCTTGGCCTGTAAATGGAAAAGGAGAGTTTAGAGTTGGAGTTGAAGAGCGACAGAGATTACACTCACCTGCTTGACATTGTGCTGCTGGCACACGAGACACTTGCTGGCACTGTGATCCTCCAGACAGTCGGCCATGTGATCCCCAAAGTAATCGTGAATAGAGGCATAGCCGCCCGTTAGCAAGGACACGTAGTGTGTATTTTTTTGCAGGAATGAAGCCACCACCATGTGCGTATATTGATCCTCTTCCACACGGCCGCTGCCCATAAAGCACAAATGTTCGCCGCCCGCATTAGAATTCACTTCGATGGCCTGTTTCTGGGCGGTAAGCAGGCCCTGGACGGCAGTGGCAAACGCCACCGGCTCCTGCAACATCAGGTTGCAGTCCAGATGAAATGCCGTTGACAAATGGCCCGCATTGTACTGTTCGGCTGGACGGCAGTCCACGAGAAAGAAACGCACGGCATCCTGCACTGGGAACTCTGTGGCCGAATTCTCGACCAGCTCGTAGACGGAGACGGGCAGGCACAATGCCTGGGATACCTTATTGGACTCCTCCTGACTGCGCGGCGTATCATTCTGTTTGCCATATAGAGCCTTCAGGTAGTCGGTCTTGAAGGACGTTGGGGTCTTAAGTGCATAGTATTGCGCGAGGGAGCAAAAATCTGATACATCGTCCACCTCCAAGGCGCACGGCATATTGACGAGAAACTTGACGATCTCCTCTTTGCTGGAGCTCTTCATGGCCATAATCTGTTCGCGTCCATTGATGAGAATAATCAAGGCCAGAAAGAAGACCATAAATGGATCTGCATTCTGGAAATACAAATCCCACATGGCGATGATCACAGACAGACTGCTGCAGGACGCGAAGAGCGATTGGAACCACGTCAAGGAGTAGAGATCCGGTGTGATCTTCTTGGTGTCCAGCACAGTGCACAGTTCCGGATCGTGATAGAGCAATAGCAAGCGAAATACATGGAAGACATTGCCCTTGGGCTTGCAGCCTTTGGGTATATAAGTATCCCGTATAGCCTCAAATAAATTGAAGGTATCCGAACGATTCAGCTTGAGGGCGCAGAGTGGCAACAGCAGTTCGATCCAACCATTCTCTGGCTCATATTGCAAGTTGCGATTCTTGCAATAGAACGTCATTATCGACTCCAGATCGGAGACGACCGACACTTTGTCTTCCTCATCGTTGCCAATGCGGTCCACATATCGCTGACAATCTTCGCGCAATTGACTTTGAAAGGGCAAATCGTAGATCTCGTTGAAGAGCGACATTTGATCGCTTTTATTTCGCACATCCAGACACACTTGCCAAACATCCGGACGGAGAGCTTCCGGTAGGGGCTTGCCCTGGCAAATGCTATAGATATCATTCACATTGCAGTCGTCCAGCAGCGCTGACTCCAGCTCAATTATCCTGGAAGAGATAGAGAAGGGGATAAATATGATGAACGCTCTCGCTTGACATGACATCCTCAATGAGAGTCAAAGAGAGAATGATATTTATATTGCTAAAGCTTTTTGCCCTATACGAAAGAGAGCTTTCTACCGATCAGTGAGCTTTTTCCCACCCACTTGCAACTTGCTCTCTGTTTCTCTCTCGTAAAGGTGAAGTAATGCGTTTGTTTGCGCTTATAATTCAACGTGTCCAATTTGGCACAGCTGTTGCTGATAACATCAAAAAAGCTGACTATCTCTTTGGTTGCTGACTCAAATAATGTGCTAGTGATTTCTTCACAAACGTTCGCTTACTCTGTCGCACGCGTTTGCATAGGCATGCCAGCAAGGCCATCGCTTAGTCCTCTTCACAAATTTCTCAAAAAAGCTATTCGACACTTTACATTTGATTTTATTTAGAACTGTTCATAGTGTTTATTTACCACATATTCTCGTCCATGGCCGTGGGCCCCACATATACAACTGCACGGCTGGAAAATTTATCTTCGATTGCGTTGGCTTTCTATCAGCTATGTCTATTGCGCTACTTCCAGTAGGGGCAATAGGATTGAACGCATTTTAAATAGGTCCACAAATATTGAATTTCGTTAATATTCGCCAAAAATTGCTTTACTGTGTATGAGTTAATGTTTTCTTATTGGAAGTCTTATTTTTTGTGGTGGCACACCGATGACGGCCGATAAATGTCTGAGCAACAGATCGGAGGAGATGCCAACCTTTGTTTGTCTGCCCAGTGTCACCCAGTCGCTGTGAATGTTTAAATTGGTAGTCCGCTGGCAAGATTCAAGCATAACATTTAATTTCAAACAATTTAACAATTAGTGCAATTGCTGCTTATCTGTATTAATAATAAATAATTTTGAACGCACAAAACCGTTTACTATTCAGGAAACAAATTGCTGAGCACTAAGCAGCTGGCGTATCGTGTAATTTGAAGTAAGGTAAGTTTTTGGGGTAAGTGCACCCGAGCCCACGCACACAAATACACAGGCACATGCAAAGACAAACACTAAACACACATACAGAGAGAGACGTACTGGCAAATACAATTTGCAAAAACAATAGCGTTTACGCTCATTTTGCCTTTGCAACTAATGGCACATATATTATATATATGCATATGTATATGTATATGTGCATATAGCAGCACATTCTGATGCAGCCTTCACCTAAATAATGCATCTATTGATTTTGCATATGCATTTCTGTTGCATTGCCAAGCGGCATTACTGGCAATATTTTCGTACGCACACTACTGTGCGTGTGCGATTGTATGTGTGCTTGCATGTGTTTCTGTGTATGTTCTTTGACCTCTCGAGTCAACAGCCAACAGCGAGCAACAGCTGTCCTGTAGCTCCAGTTTGGCTTCATACCTCACACCCCCCTCGACACTTTGTTCGCTTTAAGCGTTCTTTGAACAATTGCGTCTTCTTTGTCATTGCATTTGTGTCGCTGTTGCAGCCACGTGTGTCGTTTGGCATTTGCATAGCATCACGTACATATGTATAACCATTTTTCTTTTCAATAATACCCTATACTTGTAGAGTTATGAAACGCGGCATATTGCAATTAAGCAAATTGATAAAGCATAGCGCTAAATATTTTGAGCTCTATGTGAATTCTTATCATTTCATTATACCCCATTTAAAGTGCTACAAAACAGGGTATATACGAAAGCAGAGTAGGGTAGATGCTTGAATAATATACATATATTAATCTAAAGAAAAGAAATGGCGTGCCATGAATTTGGAATATGTGATATGATTATTTACAGGGTATGCCCAAGTACATACTTGAAATATTGACTGTTTTGTACTCGTTTTATTGTTCTGTTTTAATTGCGTCTTCTTTGTTTGTCACACAGATGAAACAAGGCTCTGCAACAAGTGGCACCAACAACAACAACTCGTTCGCCAACACCATCATCAACGACAACAACAACACCGACTGTGAAGAGCAGTTGCAACCGCCGCAGCAACTATCAAAATTAACTCATATTGTCAGCGAATGGGATGACGGCATCATATTTGATGTGGATGATCCAGACTTTTGCCCCGGCCCTTCAAACGTCGTCGTTGACAGGCTGACAACAGCCACAAATAGCTGTGTGGCAGCGTTAAGGAATCTGAGCTTGATAGGTAAATAGCAAATGATTATAAACAACTGATTAACATTTTGTAGTTAGTAACAAGACTATATAACGGGGGAAAGTCATCTATTCATCTTGCTTAAGCCAGATCTATGAAATATATCTATCTGCCTTTAAACGCATATTAAGATCAATAACCCATCAACATATTTCTCAACAATAGATTAATTTAATTCTTGCTGAATATAAAAAGTAGGGAAATTTGTAGAATTTCGACATTTGGCATTTTTATCAATGCCATCTCATCAGAGCCTCATAGAACAAGAAATTTTGGCACTACAATTTATAATGCTGCCTGACCTAAAAGAGCAGAATTGATAAGCGTTTGTCAAAAATTACCCTATTCCTTGATTAAAACCAAAACAAAACAAAAATTAAAAATGGTTCTGAGATTTTTTTTGAACCGAATAATTTCATTGAATACTTTGGTGAATGAACGGAAATCTATATATAAACTGGTTCAGGGATGTTCAAAAGGCATTGTGTCTTTTATTTTGTTGGCACTCGTGCTAAAAATAATATTAAGTTTCAATAATATATGTAACTGTTGGTAGAAACTTCTAATATGTTGGATAACATAGACTGCTAATATCGTGCAATGTAAAAGCTCCAACTATGTTAGTTAACGCAAGTCTGTAAAGGATCGATTAATGTTTTACATGCAGAGTAGAGACAATGTAAATGGCAACTGCAACTGATATCTAAAGTGCTGTTAAGTTGAATATATGCAAACATATCAAACAGTCGCTTAACACAAATGCAGTTCTGAGTAGACTGTGACAAAGCTTGTTTTGCGTAACCCATAAACCTTACCTTACTCACAAAATATGCGGCTGGCTGTTAATGTTGTTGTTCTACTGTTGGGGTTACCCTGGTATAACGTAACAGAAATAGCTATTAATAGAGAAATAGATGTACTAGATGCATTACAAAGCAAGCTTATATTTGCGCACGTTGTTGGCTGATATTATTTATAGACTCTCAGGTCTAGACGAGATTCGCGAATAAATTAGCGGTACAAATATTTACGATTAATTTGCTGATAGACCTAAAGCTGGAATTTTTTAACATTGTGATGAGCGTGGCAGCTAGTTATGTGTATACTCGTGAACAACTATATAAATATGTCTGGCTTATCAGCTGCGTGTTTTTCCAGCTTTGTTTTAATAACAGGTGCGTGGGCGTGGTTAATACATAAGTAAGATTAATACTCTATATATACTGATACTTATACTTTATCCATATCGCGTCCCTGTGCTCTTTGTGCGACCCACTTGCAATTATTTCACTCACATACTTTTTGATTCCATTTTATATGGGTGAGCGGAAACTGGTGCACATTTTTATTAACATCAATTGCTAGCGATAGTGAGCTTTATCGCTCAAGTGGGTTCCACGCTCTAGTATATAATGCCAAATACGCGGGCCTATCAATTTATATTAGAAACATTTCTTTCAACTTTCGAATCGCTAGTCGAAAGTTCATTTCTCATTGTTTATGTCTGCTACAATAATCGATAACATATATTATAATCGATCTTCTCTTATACCCACTGAACTTTCTCTATTTATAGATCAAATTGATTATGTGTTAGATGCAGTAATAACTTTATCAATGTTTGTCTAGATATCTATCAAATTGTCGTAGCTATATAATCGAATGATTTGTTCAATTCTCAATCAATCATCAATTTTATGTAATTCAAGCGAGAAACTAAATATCTGACTCAAATCGTAGGAAAGTTCCGCTATGCATATAGAAGTAAAAATCAGAAATTTGATTAGAACTTTTCTATAAACAGTTAATCATAACCTATTCATAGATAAAATATGAGCTTGAAAATTGTATATAAAATGGCTCTCAGATTATATGTTATAGTAATACGAGTTTAGTTTTCAGCCAAATTGATTTATTGCTTGGCGTTAAAAGGAAATATCAGTCAAAGCCTTATCGAAGCTGATTAAAATAAAAAGTAGTTTGAACTAATATTTTCCATTGTGTGCATTTATGAATTTTTTATACCCTGAACCCATTGAAAATGGGAAATCAGGGTATAATGGTTTTGTGAAAAGTATGTAACAGGCAGAAGGAATCATAGCAGACCCCATAAAGTATATATATTCTTGATCAGGACGACGAGCTGAGTCGATATAGCCCTGTCCGTCTGTCCGTCCGTCCGTCCGTCCGTCCGTCCGTCCGTATGAGCAAAAGGATCTCAGAAGATATAAGAGCTAGAGAGCTGAAATTTGGCATGCATACTCGTGTATACCATAGGCAGTACAAGTTTGCTTTATTTTTTCGATAACTCGTCCGATAACTTTTTTATCGAGAATAATCGAAAACTTGACATTGTTTTTTCAGCCTAATTTGAACACTTTTAGACCTGGAGACTTCAAATTTGCGTTGTATATAAAGTTAATAGATACAAAGATTTTGTAATTTACAGATTTTGGATACCACGCCCCCTTCGCCCCCAATTTGTAAATGTACACACATTTTAGCCATATGATTACGCTCTAAAAGTTTCATTAAGATCGTATGTCTACAAAAGAAATTATTCAACAAATAATTTCTCATAATATTGCCCACACTACAGTGCAGCCCAAGCGCAGCCGCTGCTTACTGCGCAGTTAGCAGAGCGCGTGCTTATAAGTGCATGTGTATGTATGTGTGCATAAAAGAAGTCCAGAATGATTAGAATATCAGTTTGGAGGGTTCAGGGTATCTCCCAGTCGAGCAGTCTCGACTGGAGCCTTCTTACTTGTTTACACATGAAATGGGTAAAAACTTACCCACACGCACTACCTCAAATCATCCATCAATCAAGTATGTGCACCTCTTCGATCATAATATAAAAAAAAAGTAAGGTAAAGAATTCGTGTGCTAATTGTTGTCTCTCTGGCTTTGGGGTTTATCAGCGATCTGATTAACCATATAAACAAAGCGTGCGGCTCGCTTATTCACACGTTTCTGTTGTCGCTGGATTTATTTATGAAATTCACGCGTTTATCATGTGACTTTATGTTATTCGTAACTCTCATCGCGTTTGCTCTTCTATTTGCCTAGGGGACTACGGAATCGTGCAAACATTAATCATCTGCGCTGCAGAATTATGCGTGTTCATTTAACTCACTTTTGTTTTGTTATTTTGTTTAGCAAATTATGTTAGCGTGTGGCGCTACAAAGTCCAGTATTTTCTTTATGATAGTAGAGCGCGACACGTGCGGATCGTTTAGGAAATTTACGAAATCGTCAATTAGGCTAAACCCATGAAATTGTTGCGTGTCGGTGGGTTAGCTTCAAGAACTCGAAGCTTGAATGAAATTTTGTTGGAAAATTAAGCAAATTCAAGCTAATTTATTTCCAAATAAATTAGTTATATTTGATGTATAAAACAATAAATAGCTCTAAAATGAATCTGACAGTTATACCGACTTCTTGACGTCATATGCAGCTTGTTTGCAATAATAAATTTTTATAAATATATATATATGGCCAGCTTTAGCTCTATATATATTTTATTATATAGTTTATTTATAAGTTTTTATTTATAGGGCGTTTCTGAGTCGACTGCTCTTTTCACCTTTGCTTAGCTTATTCATTCGCAACGCTGGCTTGCTAAAGAAAAATTGGAAAAGTCAATTATCGAAGTCATCTGCGCATATCTAAAAATAATTTTACAGCAATAAAAAATGTAGCTTAAGTAATTCTATGAGCAATATCAAAAGTAAAATCTGAGTCAAAAAGTAAATAGCCGACAAATGCTGAAATTTACTCTATAAATATTTATATTTATATTGAATTTAGGTTTTATTTTTTTGTATCAGCTGGAGGCTATTTTGTATAGCCCAAGAAACAGAAGTTTTTTCTTTCTTTGCTTTTATGATTTATTTGCCTTTGGGATCGCATTTCATATGAATGGAAAAGCAACATGAGTCTTTTATATATCTTTATATAGTATATCTTTATTGTAGTATGAAAATATCTAGTAAATATTATATATCAAAAAATGCGTGTGCTTAAAGATCTGGTCTGGCTTTGCTTTATAGATATGGTGAGCTCATGGCAGCAGTTCCTTATAACCCATAAGCCTTGCAATATATTATCTAACACTTCCCGGTATTTCACTATACAAGTTTTTTCCTATTAGTTGGAATATTTTATAACTTAAAAAAAAAGTGCTTCTGTGATTTACTCTTCCCAGGTATTTCGTAATGTAATTACCTTATCGTTGTAATTAGACAACCTTATCTTTCATAATGATCATGATAATGATTTGCATCTTATCTTCGCACTTCCATTAATGAATCACAGCGCACGCCCAGACAGGCACACACACACACACATGCCCTAATAGTCACTCTTATATCATCAAACTGTCTGGCAGTCTGTCTGAACGTCTGTTGTTTACTCAAAGATCCACCAGACATTGACCTGCTCCCACATGCCCCACCTCGCCTCGCAAGTCCTCGCTCTGAAAGCGCTTTCAGTTTATTGCCGTCTCGATTAACATTCGCAAAAAAGTGCTCAGAATGCACTTGGAACTAAAGGTTTTGCTCCCATGGGGCCTCAGTCCGGGGCCGCCATGCAAGTTTGCTTACATAAACGTTGTGCTTTTATGCAATTGCTTATTAAAACGACAAACGTAATGACAAATTTTGTTTGCAAAATTTATATGTATATTTGGTATGTATGTATGTATAAAAGCGTTTTCAATTTCGCACTGTGCCATTGCCTGTCAAAGCTGGCTGCCTCCCCCTACGGCCCACCTTCGAACAATTGCCTTTTGCATGATTTTGCATATGAGAAATCGTTCCGCTGTTTTTACGGTTCCCATGCTCATTATAGACAAAAACCAAATTGTATGCCACGCGCAGACTATTTATACCCTAGAATTAGAAACATAGAAGGCATATCCTTATGTTTGGGCAGCTTATATTATATATAAGATATTATTAAACATAGCTTGAATCGATTTATCTTAATTTATACTTTATTAAATTATTTAAAGAGCAAACCACAAATAATTCTTGATAAATTTGTGTTTGGTATGCATGGAAAGGTTTTTTATACTTATTTATATAATAATAATTATTATATTATAATATCTTATTATAATTAGAAAATTCTGGATAAATCTGCAATTTACATTTCTTTATTGTTTATTTGTTTGTCATTTTCATTAATAAATACTCAAAGTAAATATTTAAAATGTGAAAATTAAATGCTAAATACGAAATTATTTCTCACTTTTCAACTTATTTACTTTGAAAATTATCAAAGATCTATGACAAAATAATAAATTTAATTTGCATTTGATAAACACATAAGTTGTTTATGTTAAATATATTTATGCACTGTCAGTTTTTGCTCGATCATTTCAATAATACATTATTTAAATACTTAACAAGTTGAATTAGCACGTAACCGTTATATAGCTGTGCATAATGAGAACTTTTCCAGTTTTTCCATGACACATTGAATTTTATTACAGCTATTTACTTTATTTGTTAAGGTTAACGAGTCGAAGTCGTCGATGCTTGAATTTGTTGTGAATTATATGAGTAAATTATGTGTTAATTGAATTTTTTTCCATAGTTGAGCTGTACCTTGTATTATTGCTTTCGCTTGAATAATATAGAAAGTACAATGAATATAGGTTTTATTTGCTATTCCATTACATTGGGTATACTTGATTTATATAAGCAGTGTGTCTCTTAGACTATATGCAGATCAAGGTAAAGGCAACTTGAGTGGTGTACTTAGGCAGTTAATTAACATTGAGTTTATAATTGTATAGAGTATATAATATACCCATACCATACCTATATGAGAAATATTTTCATTTAATGGGTGTCTACTTAGTCGCTTAGCATAATTTAGTTTATTTTTTGCTGTTATGGGTATTTTTTTGCTTATTTTTTGGTTTATTTGAAATGTTGTCGACATCAACACAACATCAGCCGATGAGGGGGCGGGGTCGATCAGCCATGCGACGCGCCCAACGCCTCAGCCTTAGTCTGGCTGACAATATTGTGGTTGTTGTAGTTGTTTTATTAATTTTTGTTTTTTGAGCTGCTGATAAGATGTCATGTCCACGCGTCGCCTCAAATTGCGCTGTGGTTAGGTCCACAAAACAAAAAAAAAAAAAAAAATAAATAAAAAAAAAAATATATATATATATATACAATATATAAAATAAAAATAAAAACCTGAGAAAATGCAATTTGATTATAGAGTTTGACCTTTTTGCAGCCAGTGTCTGTGTGTGTGAGTGTGTGTGTCATGCTATAGTATGGCATAAAGTGCTATGATCCGTAGTGCCAGATGGCGCCAGCTTTATGAATATAAGGCCGGCCTCTAACCAATTCGTTTGGTTATAACCTCAACAGCGCGTCGAGTAACTAGAGAGCCGTTACTTGAGCCACTGTAAAGCAACGTCGGTGGTTGGTGGTGCTGCCCCCTAATGCCACCGTGACGAGTGTCAATGGAACGTGCGCCAATGTGGTTCACTTGAGAGCCGAGTCGAGTTGCGCCGAACCGAGCCTACCCCGCCTGCCCCGTCCCGCTCCCTACCTCTCTTGGCATTCACATGAGCTCAGGGCTGGAGCGTATTTCAAGGGGCTGGCTGGGTCATTCAACAACGCATTCTTTACTACATAGGTATCACTATAGTGTACAGTAGAATGCGCAATTGACGAACAATTGAATGAATGTTCTAGTAACAATGTATATATCTATGTGCGCTTTAGGCTCGGGATTTCCACCTTGATTGTTGGCTTTAGCTAGCTTTCACTGTATATGCTATGCTCTGGTTGTATGTATTGATTTCCATTTAAATTGCGCTTCATTCATTCATTGCAGCTCTTCATTGTTTTATCAATTTACAATTTTAGCACACACTTACACACAGACACACACGTAGCCATACACTCAGACATACACACACAGTCTGGCAGCAGTTAGGTCGGTCGTACGACGAATAAAGAGAAAATACTACGACATCATATTTAGTAGCAATCGGTTGAAACTGGAAACTTAACTCATCTCAACTCAGCGTGTAGATCTCTCAGTCTCTATGTGTATTTACGTGTGTGTGTGTGTGTGTGTGTGTGTGATGGGCGTGTGTGTGCATTCTACAAACGATTCGTGCGACGCAAATCTAACACGAATGCCAGAGCAGCAGATAGATGCTCATAATGATGATGTTTGATGACGACGTTCGTCAGTTAAAAAGCATAAAAGAATGTCGACTAAATAGTCGGTCAGATCACTTGAGCTGTCAGGGATTCGCCATATACACACACATGAAAATATACATATAAGTATGTTTAAATATGTGGCTAAGGCCACCACGAGCTAGCCTTAAGCCCTGCTTAGTTAAACCAATCCGGACTTAGCAAAACTTGTCACGTGTAATTAGCAAGAATTGTCGTCAATTTGCATAAAATAATAAAGTGTGAAGCCAGACTAAACTGTTAATTGCACTGTTTACCCAATTTCGACTTCAAGATATTAAACTGCATCATTAGTTTAAGAGATACAGCACGAGATAACGGCGTGATATGCAGTGTACACTGAAAAAAATATTGAAAAAATAATATTTAAGTAGATTTAAAATGCGAAAATATGGCAGTCAGTCTAGCCTGACTATAGCCTCAAGTCCAGAGTGCATAATGTAGAATTATCAACTTTTGGACCTATGAACCAAATTGTCGACTCAAAATATTAGATGATCTGATGGACAGATATTAAATATATCAACCCTGAAGTCAGACAGAACTGAATGTGTGCTTAATTTTCTAGATTCTGAAATCCAGTTGATATAAGTATAACCAGTCAATATTATGCGGAAATGAAAAGTTATTACCTTAAAACTCAATTGCCTATCGATCATATTGTTATTCAAATTAAGTTCGTAGCACTTCTAAAAATATGCCATGGGGTGTATCTCAATGGGAACCCTATTCTAATTTCGTCTAGGTATTGTTTTACTATTCGATTGCGCACTTACCGATGCAAATGCGGTTCAGATAATAGGAAATATATGTATATAAGTGGACTTTACAATGTTCAATGTTCGCGTGTGGGGCAATTCCTATATGAAATTCAATACCCAAAGTACAAATATTAAGAGTACTGCAATCTGTTCAGCATATACATATATATGTATATATAGGTATACTGTGACGTCAGCTATGGCCCAGGAGTGTATTTATAAAAATTCCTACAACATTTTCTGCGTATATGTGGGGTTAACAATGAATACATCTGCTATATATAAATATGATTTGGTGTGAACTGTGCGCTCCCACTACATAATGGATCTATTGTATCATATATGATGCCGTGAATTGAGTATATCATATGTTAAGTAAGTATCACATGATCACTTAAAAGCATTATTCAGATCGCATCTATTCGGAAGAGTTTTCTAGAAATATGATGCAAAACTTTTCCAGAATTTCAAATATAGAGCTGATTAGGGTTACATCAAAATTGAATTAAAAACTATCATCTGAGCAAAGAAATTGTTATTTTCTTATCAGTTTTCAGTTTTAGAGTTGTGTTTGTTGCTCTTTCTTAGCATAGGCGAGATAAAGACATAATTGATTTCGGCAATGTACAAAGAGTCCGTATAACTCTTCCCTGAATACTAAATAGCTTACTCACAGATGTTTGTATTGTGTTTAGCGCTAAATGCCAGCTGTCATGCCCCCACATTATCGCCAATCCATAAACGATCGATTACGATAAGGCCTTGGTCTATGTAATTTATCAATATCTAATAACATTGCAATTTTTATGGCCAGTGCTCTCGAAATATGGTTGCAATTGTAAATATAATTATATTTATTGGTTTTACAGTTGTATTGGCTCTCTTGATTTTACTCTAAGAATGGGCTGTTGTTTTCTTTACCAGCATCAAGATATTGCGCAAACATAGCTTAAATTTACAAGTTATTACAGCTTTAACATTTCAACTCTTTTTACACCTGTGCTTGAAACATGTTGAAGCTGTTTTTGAGGCTGACGTGGCTTTCATGGTTATTGCCAGTTGCCCTAAACGTGTTTGCAGTAATATTTTTACATAAGCAGACGAACGGCTCTTAGGTCGGCTAACATACTGTTAACGAACTGTACTGCTAAATATGTAGTAGATGTACTGTAACAGCCTAACAACTATTAACTCGTCTCTTCTATGTTAACGTTATGTTGATGCGCCGTAACGTTTTTTCCCCCCTATATTTCAAAACTAGTTCTTCTAGTTGAAACTGAATTTAATTGTCTATTCCATTCATCCCATTCTTACACAATTACTTATTTTATGTAGATCATTTTATCCATGAGAGCATGCAAATTTCTACAGAACAGCTAATGCGAAAATTCGAAGTACAGCGGCTGATCATAGTTCAAGGTTGTGGAATTTTCACTTCAAATACGCCCTCCCGCTCGATCGCTCATATATAATTCGCACACTTCTAATTGCCATTGTCAACAGCAGCGCTCGCAGTGAATTTCCCATGCTTCTATCAGCTCGTGAATTAATAGCTAATTTTTTATTTCCCCCTTTATACACCTTTTTCGGTTTTCTACTTCCTTCAATTTGAAATCGTCTAGATTTGTGCATATATATTGAGTCGTAATACACTTAAACTAACTACACTTAGTTATATTTTTTCCTCCATTAATTAAGTAAATAATTGCTGGAACTTTTGTTTGCTCACGTTCAACAATGAGGGAAGCCGCAAAATATTTTAATACACACAGACACATACATACTTACCATGGAGAATATAAAATAAAACTCGTTTAGATTTTCGTTGAACTCATTAGCATTTGATTGGAGCCCCATTAATTTGGAATTTCTCAGTTGAGTATTAATAACTAAAATATATGCGTATTTTAGAGTTCCTCGTAATTTGTGAATCATTCATTCATCACTGATCAAAACAAACTGCAACTGTATCTGTAAATGTAAATGTAGCTGTATCTGCATCTGTATCTGTATCTGTGTATCTGTGTCTTCTATATGCATTGCTTTTATTTAATTTTTGGGGGTGTACTGTTATTGTCTTTGCTTTTCCTGTTTCTGCTTCTTCTTTTCTGTTTTTGCGCATTGACGTCAACATTTTTGTTTTTGTTTTGCGGGCACATCTGATCGCAGCTTTTAACCATACCATGTCACACCACCCCATGCCATACACTATACAGATCCATCCATTCAATGCATATGTATTTATTTATTTACACAAATCGCATAACAATTGACAGCCACTTGCAAGGAGCAGCTTTGTTTGCATAGCTGCGTCTCGAAGAAATAAAAAAAAAGAAAAAAAATAGAGTTGCCTCAACTGACTGCAGAGCTAAAGAGGAAGCGCATGTCTTCAAGCAGCACTTGTTCGTCTACGCGTATATCGTAACATCAGATAGTATCTGTTACCGTTTAGCGTGTGCTCACATCTACAAATTTCAACGCGGGCTGCCTGAAGCGTATGCATGTGCAGCAATGCAAGTGGGAAAGGGAAAATGGGATAAAAATACATTGGCGAAGAAATGTGATGGAAGTGGAATAGAGATGACATACTCTTGAGAAGTTGAGCTAGATCACATGTTTTGTTTCACAAAAAGTACATTGTAGTTATGAAAGTGAAATATGCGATGAAAAACTTCTAGAGATAAGATTTTATTAATTTATATATATGAAATGTTCTTGAGAAAACCAGGCAGCCTTTATAAATATTTAAAGAGTAGATGCCTATGAAAGTGGAATAAGGTTGAAATATTTATGTGAATAAGTTGTAGGCTTTAAAGTCGATTTGTTTCCAAAGTTGCTCTGCGGTATATATCATATCTATCTATCATACATATGTCCAAAATGATATTCAGTCATTTCATTAATTGCACGAGCGACTAATGACAGCTGAATTGCCATACAATTTAAAGATAAAACTAATTAGAGAACTTTCTAGCAATTTATGATAATTATATGAATTCAGAAATATCAGTTCGATAATTATTCTATATATAACAAATATAGGAAATTCCAAATGAATATGTAATCTTTTATTTTTGGAAATAAACATTATTTCAAAGAAACCTACTTAGGGCAGTAGAAAGAGCTTCACTGTGTAGCTTATTTAAATTTTGAATTTTGATTTACATTTATAATACGCATTTATATATAAATTTTTTTTTCTTATATTATCATATAAATCTTCCCAAATTCCCTTAAGCAATTACATACAGTGCTCTCAGGGCTATAACCTCTACATGCAGCTACTACTTGAGCTACCTGGGCATATACATACATATACGTGCATCTGCATTGTATTGTAGTCATATATATCTGCATTTGTATATATTTATCTGCATTGTATATGTATGTATGTAAATATTTCTGTATCTCAAGCAGGTAACTCAAATATGTGCCAACAAATAACGAACGTAGCTGAACACTTAATAACTTTTTAAAAGGTTTGCAATATGTTGTTTAAATATTATTTGTTATATGTATACGAATAACTATGTATGTGTGTATTTATATAAGTATGGACATATATATATTGCTGAGGATTTTGTCCATGGGTTATTGGTTCATATTAATATCGTTCACATTTGTTGACTGACGCAATCTTTTGAGCGTCGCGGAGAGGTGTTTTTCAAGTAATTGCCGCGCGACCTTCTGCGATGACAATGATTTTCTATCCCTCTCGTAACCCCGTTGAAACAAAATAATAAAAAATAAATTTAATATTTATAAATAATATCAACAAATGAATAAATCTGCTCCCAACAATGTGAAACTGCGTCGCATGCAAAAGTTGAATGTCAGTCAAAAAGAAAAGGAAAGAAAACACGACGACTTAGGAATATGGAAAAGAGGGAGAGAATGATCATGCTGATGATGATTATTAATGGTAATGATCGTCATGTACACATTTTCTAGCCTTTCTAAATAAACATCAATTGTTTATAATATAAATACAAATTTGTGTGCGTGTTTGGTTCTGTTTATAGTTTTATAGTTGGGACGTTGACGTTGGCGTTGCTGCTGAATTGCATTATTTTTGGCGAGGGTCACTTTTAAGTTGATCTTCTATCTGCTGGTTGCTCCGTTTTTTCGTAGACCCCAGCGAAATTTGAGCTGCGACGCGACGCGCGACTCATGTAGACTGTAAAAAAAAAAAAAAAAAAAAAAAAAAAAAAAGCAATTCCTATTAATTTGCGAATATTTTGTTGCTGGTTTTTAGCACATGTGACGGCTGGCAGTTTCCATTCGCCTCTGCTCCATATACATAACTTACATTTCGACTTTGATACCTCTGCAGTTTACAGTTGTTTTAGATTTCATGCTACGGCCACAGCTGCCGCCACGCGTCGATAAGATTATGTGGGTGTAGTTATTTGATTTATTTTTGTGTTTTAGATAAGCACTTGGCACGGGATAATCAGTTCCCGTGAAGCCATAAAGCGCAGGTCGCGCTTATTTGTGAAGTACCTGTTCGATAGAGCATATTGTTTTTTTTTTTTGTTTTTTGTTTTTGTTTTTGCTATCTGGCTATCGCTGGCTGTCTATCTGTTCCGTTTGTCCTCTCCATGTCCGTGGACTCTTGTCTACCTGTCACAAATGGCAAATATTATTTGTTATTCAAATGAAATGCTGTCTGTGCTGACGCTAGTTGCTCCGGACGGTATTTTTTCTTGTCCAAATTACCTACGTCAACAACCCCTCGAGTTTACATTTAGTCAATGTATTAGACTTGTTCCACGCGGCGTATACGTATTGACCAGCATTGGTATTGCCAGTGCGCCTGTATGTGTATTTGTATGTGTGTGTCTGTGGGTTTTTTAATATTTGTTGTTTTTGTTGCCTTGTGGTTTGACCGTTAAACGAGCGATCGCACACATGCTGTCTCCCTCTCTTTCTGTCTAGGTCTCTCATTCTGCTGTTTCTTATCGTGCTCTCATTCGCTACTCTCTCTTTCTCTCTCTGCCTCTTTCTGGAACAGTTGTCTTGTTTTGGTTATTTATCGCCATCTTCGTCTGTGGCCAACTTCATAAATACACACACTTGTAGCGTCAATTTGGCCAGCATCTGCTGAGTCGGTCTTGATTATTTATTTAGTTTTGTCTTGTTTCCTTTTGGCATTAACTTTGATTTACCCTATGCCACGCTGTTCTGCGTTCCGCACTTTGTATATATTCTCCTGCTCTCTCTCTCTCGCCCTCGCTCTCTCTCTCTCTCTCTGTGTGGATTTCAGGCTGACAAGTTCGTTAGCTTTGTCATGCCACACACTAACACACACACTCACACACACACACACAGACAACCGCATACATTCGCTCTCTCGCATTCACACACGCGCACTCAGCAACAGCGCTCGCCTGCAATATCACTGTGCTCACTTTTGCTGTTGCTATTGCTGCTCGTTCGCTCGCTCTCTCGCTCGCACACATCCGCTCAGTTTGCTATAAAAGTCCATCGCAGTCAGCGACTTCATTTCAGTTATATTTATGTTGTCGAGCATGCCACTTGGTCTTTAGGCTTTTGTTGAACTACTACAGCTACAGCAAGTTCAAAAATCAAAGAGGAATAAAAACATATTTCATATACAAAGCCCAACTATAAAAGTGAGCTGCAGCTACTGTCACAACATTTTATTGATATACATATATTAAATCAAAGCTAATTTTTGTGCGAAATTCGTGTGTTTAACTGTTGCGAAGCGCGTGTGAAAAGTTAAACAATAAAAGAAAATATCAAAAACTTTAATTGCAATTTTGTTGTATGAAAAGCAATTCCATTGTTGTCGCTTACGCAAGGCCAACCAAACTAACAATACAGCTGACAAAACCCGATTTGGATTATTAATAGCGCCTAATTAATATTTTGCGCCGTTAGCAATCAGATATTCTGTAAAAGCAGCTAACAGCAATAGCAACAACAACAACAACAAATTGTAAGTATTTCCGTGCCCAAAATAAACTCAACAGCTCAGACCCACACTCGCTCACATAGATACTGACAACACTTGCATTCTGTGCTACATATGAATGTATGTGTGTGTGTGTGTGTATGCCCTTCTATAAATAAATCACATCAAATTTAATTAAATGCAACTAGTTGTGAGTTGTTGCAGGCAACCGCATTGCATGCCAAGTCTATATATAAACAAACATATATATACACATAGATATATATCTATATAGATATCTAGTGCTCGTGTGCAAAACGAAAAATGGAGTTTACAATTTACAGTTGTTCGCAAAACTTCATTAAATATGCACTGTGTATATCTATATATATAAATGTATATGTATGAATGCATTCACTTAACATAGCATTAACATAACGTTTGCATTTACATTTACATTTGCCAACTTGTTGCAGTCTTTCTGCGACATTTACCACGTACCGTTAATTTGATTACACTTTATGCGCGCTGTAGGTCTCATATGATCAACTAAATATAGCAACAATAACATAAATACGATAAACAAAAATAAACTGAGAATATTTATTTTGTTTGTTTTTGTTTTTGCTTTTTTTTTTTATTATGATCAGCCAGACAACCAGCCAAGTCATGTGCTGTCGCTGTGTGTCAAAAATAAAAATTTTGCAATGCTGCCAAAATCAGCAAGATTTGCACCGCGCTCGCCCCGCATCCCGCCGTTAAGGTCCTCTAATGACAGACACGATGCTCGTGCCGACATTAAATGAGCTATAAATACAACAGTGCATAATACAAGCACACATTCAGATATACATATATACATATCTATACATATATATACGTATCAGTTGATAGATATGGTCTGTCACAGCAATTTAGCTGGAAACGTAAAAGTTTCAGTTTGGCACAAATTAAGACTTCACTTTAATTGTCTCAGCCAAAGTTAAATGAATGTTTACAGTGTATAATAAGTATAGACATTTGATATGACGCATCAACAATATCCAAGCCAAGCTGTAATTTATTGTGTATGGCCTTTAAGTTCAACCGGATTTTTATCGTCTTTTAGTACAATATTGCAGAATGACATTAAATATATATAAATTGACCATCAAGCTGGGAAATGTGTGAAGAGCAAGTGGATGTGGGTACAGTTGTGCCTGTAGCTGGTATCAGTGCAAAATATATATGTATATGTATATATGTATCTGTACATTTTTGACATTTAAGTGTTTTATAATACCCACACACATACACACACACGCACACACACTAGTATGATTATTAAAAGCTACACAACACTAACAGCAGCTGCACAACTAGCTCGTTTACCTTCGTGCGTTTGTTTACCTGTATTTTTGTCGTACTCGTTTTGCCCCTGACATATGCCATCAAAGAGGCGGGAATGGGGGGGGGGGGGGGGGCACTTCCCCCGGACTGAACTGAACTTTTATATTTAACTGCGTTTAATTTGTCCTCTTTTTAAATGTTTTCCCTCATTTCTGGTTTTTCATTGCAGTGCCAGCAGCAACAATGTCGAGTGCCAGCGTACATGCTCCCCAAATTGCCGACATTTGCAGTCCGCTCTCGTAAGTAAAAGTTATGAAGATATATGGTCAAATGATATGTATAAAGATTAGCCACAGATACAGTGATAGACACACAGATATACATAGACACAAACATACACAAATGAAATGTATCTATCTATGGTCAGATTGCTCATACGCCTTGTGATTCACAGCTGAATTTAGCTGGAAGCGCCATTTCCGTTTTTATGGAATGACAACTGAATAGCGCGCGTACTGCCCCCTCTTCCCGGCCCCCTTTGGCGCCTACGCCACGCTTTAATAGTTTCAATGTGCGAAATTTCGGTGAGCTTAATCAACAAAGCCAGGGCCAGTTAGTGGGAATTGTGACTCCGACTGTGACTGTTGTTTAGCAGTGACTGGTTAACAGTGACTGTCAACAGTGACTGTCCAATGGCCATGTTAATGCCGCCTGGCCCATTCATAATTCTAGCAATCTAATCAGACAAACCTGTGGGTGCAGAGTACAACAACATTCAAAAAATGTCGCATAGCTGCATTAGCTTATAGTCTGATGTCTGATACATTATCTTAGGCTCTCGCTACCATTCGCTCACTCTCTTTCTCTCTTTTTATCTTGTGCTCTCTTGCGCTAACAATAAACGCTGGCGACAATGCGGCGCTCACATGATCGAGCGAAAGCTGCCGTCTGTCATTGTTGTTGCTGTTGCTGTTGTCTGACGTTGGTACAGTACCGAAACGTTAGCGTCGCCGTCGTCGCTGCCGTCTCGCCATCACGCTGCTCATTATCATAATCACGCCAGCAGCGGCAACAGCGACTGCGACGCACGCCGTTCCCCAATGTCCGCCCACCAAGCAAGGTCATGGCCTGGTACGCCTGCCTGCCTTTCGCTACTGCAGGTGCGCTTCGAGGTTGAGATGAGGCCTAATAAACCATGAAGCACAGAAGCAAGGAAATGAAACCTTACTTATGGCATAGCAGAATATTTATTTATTCAAATAGATAAATGCAATATAGTTAAAATTTATAGAGCTAGCGAGCATCCACTGGCCATTTATTGGCAATCCGCTGCTGTCTCCATGCCAACAGTAGCTAATCAGTTCTCTCTCTGTTATCTTTTACAGTCATCACAGCTTGGGTCTGTCTGCCTCGCTGCCCGATTTGGTTGGCAGCCCATTGGAGATCAACATGGACAGCGTGCTGACCATTGAGGAGCTGCGCCAACATTTGGGCTCGTGCTTTACATGCGGCGTCTCCTGGACCGATGATCATGTCTCGCTCGATTGCAGCGAATGTGGCGGCTATAGCCTGGAGCGTCCCTGCCCTCTGTGTGATGGGCAGTGTGGTGTGCAATGGAAGCGTGACTTTGCCATGGTGAGTTGCTTGGAGCGGCGGCAGCCCTGAGAGTTCAATGACTAAATTCTCGGTTCTTTGCTTTTACAGTCGCATGCATGCAGCAAAGCACGTTGGGTTGGCGTCTGTCTGAGTTTTCCGGAAGCAATGGCCGCCGCTGTGCAACAGCTGCCCGTGGCAAATAATGTGGCAGCAACTACGGCCACATCGTGTGCTGCTGCCGCAGCGAATCAGCTGCGTCTCGCCCAGGAGTTGTGCTCGCGCCTGGAGCAACTGTCGACCGCATCGTCATCGGCGCCCAACAAAATGACGCGTCTCTGAAGCGTTCGTCGTGGACGTGATACAGCACAGTGTTCCTTTTCAAAAAGTGTTGGCGCCACCTAAACTACAAGCACACGCACAAGCACAAGCATCATCAGTCATTTGCCATCAGCCACATGCCACATGCCACACAACATGAGCCAACAAAACAAACAAACATAAAGTCCACACCACATTTATTATTTTATTGCTGCATTGGAGAGAGCCGTTGTCATGGAGGAGAATCTCTCTCTCCCACTCTCACTTCATATTTAAATTAAGTGCTTAAATTAACTAAGCTTTTTATTAGCTCTTAGTTTTTTCTTTTTTTTATTGAATTCTTCTTCTGCTGGAAACATTTTATTGTTGTGCACGCGTTGAGTTTTAGCGAGAATTGATGTAGCTTGTGTTGAATTAGCGTTAAGCAGTTAATTAATTATTTGTCTACACTGTACACACACACACACACAAACACACACACTCTATACTTATCTTAAATAAGAAGAGACTACATTTAGCTTGAACATAAGTCCAGTTTAAGCGCCTTGCTGCGCAGTGATAAAGGTGATATTAGCCAGAGAAAATGTTTAACGCAAAATATTCGTAAACAAATAGTGAATTTAATAACTGTAGACAAATGGAAAGTCCAACGAACTTAAATAATTGTTAATATTTTTAGTTTTTATTGTTGGTTTAATGAATCGCCAAATTTTTGTGCACAAATCAAAAAAGAATTAAAAATCTATTACAAACACCGTTGGAAATATTGCAAAAAGAAAATTGAAAAAGAATCTTCCATAGTAAGTCTAATGCTCAATACACACAGATACACAGAAATCAGCAAAGAAATCAATGCATAAATCAACACAAAGAATAATATGCTAAAAAGAGAAGAGAAGAAAAGGAAAAAGAAAAACAATTGGGAAAGTAAGCATTACTCAAAAGAAAGTTGAAGATTTTCTGTGAAAATCCATATGACATATAATAATATATATATAAATATACCTAGAAGTTTATACCTTATATATACAACCTATACATACATATATACATATATCTACTATAGCTACATAAAGTATATACACATATATATTATATATATTTTTAATGTAGAGATATCTTTTGTAAAAGGCAAAAGCATATTTTTAAAATTAAAAAATATATTTAAAAAATGAAAAAATCAAATGTAAATTGTTATAAATTATTATTGAAGGGGGCGCGTTCTATATAAGCTATATGCACACACGTACTGCTACGGAAAGCAGAGATTAAGAAACGCTGGACCTTATCAGCACATCTGATAGTGTTTCTA